ATTATACTGTCCCTCATATAGTGTCCCTCAAATTACACACACTGCACCCCTCTTGACTTTTCTCTTACACTGGATGTCAGGGATGTCAGGGATCACAATGACAACCCAACCCATGCCTCAGGGGGCCTCTCTGTCACTTTGGTTTTACACCTGGACAGGAGGGGTGGCGGGGACGGCATATACAGGAACCAATTCCCTCCATTTTCCTTCTGCAGCTGCTGCAATTTTACTTCTCCTCCTCTCCCTCCTGCTAGCTGCAAGAGGAAAATGGAGGGGATTGGTTCCTGTATATGCCCCCGCCATCCCTATAACTACTGCCCAGGCCCCCTGTGTGCTCACCTGGTCCCTCCACAGTGGGATGTTTCAGGATGGAAAGCAGGTAATGGGCAGGTAAATATGTCATTTACCAGCCCCTTTGTTTTCTAAATGAACACAGTGAGTGATCAGTACTGATCACTCACAGTGTTCATTTATAACTTAAGCATAGTAAACTGTGACACATTCACTGCTTTACTGAAACCATTAGGTGCCCTACTGGCACTTTCCACTGTCTTAGTGACACTATCCACTGCCATACTGACACTGGCCAAACACCGTCCACTGCCCTAATGACACTACTATTGCTCTAGTGACTGACACTGTCCAGGTTTTATCTTCCCAAAGAAAAATAACCCACTATTCACAATCATGCCATATTCATGACATCAGTTTTTGGCAGTGCCTATATTTGTGAGCAACTATTTTCAAGGATTCACACAAAGGCTAAATTAGAACCAAAATATATGATGAGCACCTTGACAATTTGTTGAATTGCCACTACATCAATCGAACCACATAGTGATACATTAGTTTATCAAAAACAGTGTCCAATATTGCTCTAGTTTTACGCTGTTGTCTTTTACTTTTATAATAAAATATATTACAAAAAAATTTAAGTTTTATTATTCAGATAGGAACATTATCTATATCAGTGAGTGTTAACTTGTGAACTCCCCGACTTTTTCTGCTCATCAGTTATCATTTTTGTTAGTGTATTTTTTGTGTGGCCCAAGACAATTCCTCTTCTTCCAATGTGGCCCAGAAAAGTCAAAAGGATGGACACACCTGATATAGAGTGTTCACCTGCATTTATTGTTGTGTTTTGCATAATTAATCACTTGCTGAAAACTGAATATATATATACATCCTGGTAGCAAGTAGTTAAAAAAGCTTATGGCTGCAGCTTGGAGTCTTTTTTTACAGTCAGTTATTAGCTGTTCAGTAAGTGATCTGATTGGCTCTACAGCCACCCGATCACTTTATACTGAAGTGAGATAGGCTATCCCCCCTTCCCTTGCTGACTCCAGCGGTGGTTCCTAGGCTCTCCCATTCCTCAGGGAGCCTGGAACCATGGCACACATGGTAGCAAGCTACATAGAAGATCAAAGAACATCCATTCCCACTAGTAGGTAGGTCCCACTAGGTCCCATAGGCTTTAAAGTTGTCACCTGTGAAAAAGTTTTGATACCATAGTCTGTCACCAGCATGCACAATTTTGAGCCTTGACATGTTTAGTATCTATTTATTCAATACAACATCATCTTTTATATTTTACCTAAAATTGGGTATATCTTGTTTTCTTCCATAAAAATGAATTTTAGTGTATTTTTTACCTGTAAAAGTATGTTTGATAAACAGCTGAACAAATATTGTGTAAAATATAAAATTTAAGCAGCCATCCTTTTGTTTTCCAGGGCCTCTGCCTTCAGAAAATATATTATGTTTGGGGGTTCTATGTAATTCTCTAGAAAGATTTTAACATGTGTGTGAAAAATTTAAAAAATGCTTGAACAACAGGTGGTTAAAAATTAGAAAAAAAGTTTAACTTTTTTTATTATTTTTGTACAATTGTTAGCATATAATAAAAACAAAGCTTGGTCTTTTTTAAAAACAGTATACCAAATAAAAGACTTATATATCATTAAAAAAAATTTTTTAAACAATTTCGGTATAGTATTATTGTCAAATTAACCAAAGCGTGTTGACATTATTTATTTTCGCTGGCTTTATTGGTCTCTGGTCATGACCTCTGCTCATTAAAAGAGTTAAACGGTATCATAAATGTTAACTAACCTGCCAATGAGTGTCAAATATTTTCTCTAGGTTGCTAGGGACTCTATTTGTCACTATCCCCCAGTAACAACAGGAACTAACAATACATTTTCTATTATTCCACTATACCAGCAGTGAAAATTATTATACAGTATTTTGCAATAACCCTCTATACTACCAGTAAAGTAAGGGTGACAAGTTCAACTGGCACTGGCAACAGTAAACCATACTTGAAAACAAGACACCCAAGATAAGTCCAAGCAGGTTTGTCCTGTAGCCTTTTCACCCAGCAGCAGACTCCCACAGCAGATAAAGAGAGAGCCCTGATCAACAGTCAATTCACATATTTAAAGACTTTTGGGCAGCTGACATTAATTAATGATGCCTGGGTAATAGGTAACATGTGGACCTAGAAATTGAGGCTTTATCCCCCGAAAGCTTTACAACGCCTCTAGGCTCCAGAAATCATAACACACTGGAGATTCTGAAAAAAACATAAACCCTGAGGCCCCTTGCAATGTATATGTTCAGTATGAAACCTATGTGATTTGCACATGTCCACAATTTGGATCATCTGAGCAATATATATTTCCACTACCCTACAAAACTTTACAAATAAACTTTATTCATTAAGCAATAACTATTGTTATTTGCTATAATGATTGTATTTTCAGCGGTTGATCCAATAAGAATAGAAAATAATAGTAATGTAGCTGAAAACACAGTACTATGGCAAGCACATATTTTTTATCGTGTAGATTTTTTCATTTTGGCTTCCTGGGACCGTCAATAGAAATTTCACCAAACTACTTTTTTACAGGCAACAGAAATTACACTTGGCTTTCCATATCTGGAATTTTTAATGCTTGTTCCATGGCCAACCACCAGCTGCAGAATGCTAATATTCAGACCTGGGAACTTTACAGCTTTCAATTGGAGAGTGAAGAAATAAAAACTGTAAGCCAGGGTTCCTGGTACACTAGAATTGCCAAATGTCACTGGCAGAATCACTGCAGGCCTAAGCCAGTCCTGGGAGGAGGAGCATTAAGGGGTTCTGCATACTATAAGATGTAATAAATTCACCACATAAATGTAAAAATATCTGGGCATAGCATGATTGTGGCATGATGCTAACCCTAGAGATGTATATATCTAACATATAAGATGCTATCCTCCAAAAACACTGATGTCTTTCTTCTCCTAAATTTGAAGTATATCTTCATAATGTAGTGTGTGGAGAACATTCCCATAGTTTTAAATCTTACATTGACTTTTTATGACAGAGTTTTAAATCTTACATTGACTTTTTATGACAGAGTTTTATGACAGTTGTATTATGTATAGGCATGACAAGTATGCCAAGACTTTTTATCAGCCCCATTGTTGAGGTCAAGATTCATGGTAATAGCAGATAACAAGCCATGACAGATACAGTAACCCTGTTTAAAATTATACTCTTTTTATCTTACACATGCATACACACATACATACAGTATATGCATATTCCTGCACATATAAACAAATATACAGACATGTTAGAACACCAAAACTGAGTCAAATTCAAATTAAACTGGATATTTCCATTGCAAAATGCACTGTGTAACAAAGCGAGGATAGTATTTCTAACCAGGGGCGGACTGACCATTTGGAAACTTGGGCACTGCCCGAGGGCCCGGGGTCAGTAGGGGGTCCCATGAGATGCCCCTGGTACCTTTTTCATAGGCTTTTTTGAGTTTGGGCAAGGACACAGGGGCCCCATGATCCTCTATTGCTTGGGGGCCCTGTTTCTAACCCTTTTTCTTGTTATAACAAAGACACAAGCCTGGATTTCTAATTATAGCAAATATTCAGAATGCTACAAATGTGTGTAAACTAAAGAAACTTAATCTGTTAGTAGACTAGGGCCTAATAGATAGGTACATCTGCTCTGCAGTCGCACATCTTTAGCCATCTTTTGTAAGAAAAACTAATTAGTTTACATCTCATTGTCAATAAGTGAAAATATGCTGTAAAAGAGCTGAAAGTATGTGAAAGGTAAGAGAGATTCATCCAAAATGGCATGCCTTTTTTTTGGTTTAAGAGCACATTTAACATGGTTATTCTTTTCTGGCCCTACCTCTTTTCCCTATAACTTTGGTTGTAGAACATACCTACAACTCCATTCCTATTACAAAAGTGCTAGGAAAATAACTTTAGCAAAGTTAAATCTTTTAAAATTATATGAATTTATATTTATGGGTTTACTGTTTAAAGTATAACTAAAGGCAAAACTTTTTAAAAGTTTTGGATAGCGGGCAGAGGTATTAGAAGACCTGTCAGTTTTTATTGCTGTCCTTGTCTCCATTAGGGAGATTCCCCCTCTCCATTTGTCCTGTTTACCATTATAATTGAAAGTTAAAGTAAAAGAAAATACCACATTTTGGGTTGTCCCCAGAAAAGTAATAGAGGGGGCATTTTTCAATGGGGACACTAGTTTCTGGTGACCCAAAGAATTCCCTTAATTTGCAATTCTTAATTTCTTGTTTTGGCTATGGGACAAGAAGTGAAGGGAAACCTCTGCAATAGGACACAGATGGCGAATAAAAACCTGATTGGAGTTATAACAATCACTTGCTCTATTCAAAAGGAAAAAAAAATGCCTACAGTTCTACTTTAAGACATGGTAAGAGCAATTACAATATGTTGTCTGAAGTGATGTAAACACAGTAGCAACAAATGACATTTCAAGTTGCCGCAGGTGTATCTGGCTCTGATTGAGTGTTATTGCTGACTGCCTTTTGTGCAATACTACAGCATTGCCCTACTGAATACACCTACAGGAGGTAGTTATTAACATGTATACATTACATAGCATACAGTGTTTGCTATCAGTGCTGCCAGGTAATATAATTTCATATATTTCAACATACCTGTAAAGTGCCTTTTGGTATTTTGTATGTATTTTCTATGTTCCCATTTTCTTTACCTTTTGCTGTAAAAAGCAATACAATTTTTAACTAGAATTCAGTGATATCACTAATAAAAATGTAATTCTAACATGTTGAAATTCTCAAATTGTTCGCCAAGATAATTTATTTCTTGGATGACTATTGTTTTAACTGTACATTCTTTGTACATACAGGTGAAACTCAAAAAATTAGAATATTGTGCAAAAGTTCATTTATTTCAGTAATGCAACTTAAAAGGTGAAACTAAGATATGAGATAGACTCATTACATGCAAAGCAAGATAGTTCAAGCCGTGTTTTGTCATAATTGTGATGATTATGGCTTACAGCTCATGAAAACCCCAAATCCACAATCTCAGAAAATGAGAATATTGTGAAAAGGTGCAATATTCTTGGCTCAAAGTGTCCCACTCTAATCAGCTAATTAAGCCATAACACCTGCAAAGGGTTCCTGAGCCTTTAAATGGTCTCTCAGTCTGGTTCAGTAGGAATCACAATCATGGGAAAGACTGCTGACCTGACAGTTGTGCAGAAAACCATCATTGACACCCTCCATAAGGAGGGAAAGCCTCAAAAGGTAATTGCAAAAGAAGTTGGATGTTCATAAAGTGCTGTATCAAAGCACATTAATAGAAAGTTATGTGGAAGGGAAAAGTGTGGAAGAAAAAGGTGCACAAGCAGCAGGGATGACCACAGCCTGGAGAGGATTATCAGGAAAAGGCTATTCAAAAGTGTTGGGGACAGTCACAAGGAGTGGACTGAGGCTAGAGTCAGTGCATCAAGAGCCACCACACACAGATGGATCATAGACATGGACTTCAAATGTCGTATTCCTCTTGTCAAGCCACTCCTGAACAACAAACAACGTCAGAAGCGCCTTACCTGGGCTAAAGAAAAACAGACCTGGTCTGTTGCTCAGTGGTCCAAAGTCCTCTTTTCTGATGAGAGCAACTTTTGCATCTCATTTGGACACCAAGGACCCAGAGTATGGAGGAAGAATAGAGAGGCACACACTGCAAGATGCTTGAAGTCCAGTGTGAAGATTCCACAGCCTGTGTTGATTTGAGGAGCCATGTCATCTGCTGGTGTTGGTCCACTGTGCTTCATTATGTCCGGGGTCAACGTAGCTGTCTACCAGGAGATTTTGGAGCACTTCATGCTTCCTTCCGCAGATGAGCTTTATGGAGATGCTGACTTCATTTTCCAGCAGGGCTTGGCACCTGCCCACACTGCCAAAAGCACCAAAACCTGGTTCAATGACTGTGGGATTACTGTGCTGGATTGGGCAGCAAACTCGCCTGACCTGAACCCCATAGAGAATCTGTGGGGCATTGCCAAGAGAAAGATGAGAGACATGAGACCGAACAATGCAGAAAAGCTGAAGGCCGCTATTGAAGCATCCTGGTCTTCCATAACACCTCAGCAGTGCCACAGGCTGATGGCTTCCATGCCACACTGCATTGAGGCAGTAATTGCTGCAAAAGGCCCAAACCAAACCAAGTACTGAGTACATATGCATGCTTATACTTTTCAGAGGTCCGATATTGTTCTATGTACAATCTTTGTTTTCTTGATTGCATGTAATATTCTCAATTTCTGAGATTGTGGATTTGGATTTGGGGTTTTCATGAGCTGTAAGCCATATTCATCACAATATTAACAAATCATGGCTTGAACTATCTTGCTTTGCATGTAATGAGTCTATCTTATATATTAGTTTCACCTTTTAAGTTGCATTACTGAAATAAATGAACTTTTGCACCATATTCTAATTTTTTCGAGTTTCACCTGTACACAAACCACATTACAATCATGAGTACAACTGTGTATTGCATGTATTTTTTAGCAGAACATACAAAAAAAGTAAGGTTCTGGACCAAATTTTTGGGTCTTTTACAAATGACATGGTAGTTATAGAATGGTTAGTTAGATAAGATAGTAATTAAGCATATTATGTTATATCTAAACTGGGCTAGTAATGTTTGTGTGTACAAGGAAAAGTACAGATTAAGCGCTCATGCACACATGACATTTTTACAGCTGCTGTTTTTGGTGTTTGATGTTTTTTTCTACAGTCAATAAACTCCCCAGCATGTTATCCTATGTGTCCATGCACACATAGGCTGTAATCAACATTTTTTGGCTGGGATGTTTTTTTGTCAGGAAAAAAAACCCAAAACTAGTGGGTTTCTAGAGGAGTTTTTTAGCTGTGAAAATGCTCTAATGCTGAAAAATGTGGCAAAACGCTGCAAACAAGCGCTTTTGAATGTTTTTTTTTTTTTTTTTTTTTTAAATGCAAAAAAATGCAAACAGCAAAACACTAATGCAAAAACGCTAAAAAAAGCTGAAAACCTCACATTTTTAACGCGACTTTACACAGCTAACGTTACCAGCGTTATCAAAACGCCGAGTGTGCATGAGGGCTTAGGATCTCTTCCTTTGTTTCAAAGAATTATAACCCAGAGTATGACCAACTTGAATCCCACGAGAGCTGGTGTTTTCTTTATAAAATACTGTTTTTTAGCACCACAAACCCTTAAAGGCTGCTTATTGAGTTTAGAGGGCAGTTGAATATGTAGACATAATCTGACATTCACTAGGCAGTAAATCTTCTGTATACTTACTGTATATCAGTACTGAAGGGGGATTGGAGAAGAGCTCAGTCTGTTACCAGGGGCATTGGATCATCAGCAGACCCACAGATCCAGCAAAAATGATCACGAGACTGTCATCACCTACGAATGAGCTGCATACCTTATTGCCAAAAGTATTGGATGCCTGCCTTTATACGCACATGAACTTTAATGACATCCCAATCTTAGTCTGTAGGGTTCAATATTGAGTTGGCCCACCCTTTGCAGCTATAACAGCTGCAACTCTTCTGGGAAGGCTGTCCACAAGGTTTAGGAGTGTGTCTATGGGAATGTTTGACCATTCTTCCAGAAGTGCATTTATGAGGTCAGGCACTGATGTTGGACGAGAAGGCCTGGCTCGCAGTCTCTGCTCTAGTTCATCCCAAAGGTATTCTATCAGGTTGAGGTCAGGACTCTGTGCAGGCCAGTCAAGTTCCTCCACCCCAAATGCGTTCATCTATGTCTTTATGGACCTTACCTTGCTTTGTGCACTGGTGCACAGTCATGATGGAACAGAAAAGGGCCATCCCCAAACTGTTTTCACAAAGTTGGGAGCATGAAATTGTCCAAAATGTTTTGGTATGCTGACACCTTGAGAGTTCCCTTCACCAAAACTAAGGGGCCAAGCCCAACCCCTGAAAAACAACCCTACACCTTAATCCCCCCTTCACCAAACTTGGCACAATGCAGTCAGGCAAGTACTGTTCTCCTGGCAACCGCCAAACTAAGACACATTGATCAGATAGCCAGACAGCGATTCATGATTCATGAGAACACGTCTACACTGCTCTAGAGTCCAGTGGCGGTGTGCTTTACACCACTACATTCGACGCTTTGGATTGCACTTGGTGATGTAAGGCTTGGATGCAGCTGCTCGGACATGGAAACCCATTCCATGAAGCTTTCTATGCACTGTTGTTGTGCTAATCTGAAGGCCACATGAACTTTGGAGGTCTTTATCTATTGACTCTGCAGACAGCTGGCGACTTCTGCGCACTGTGGACTTCAGCATGCTCTGACCATGCTCTGTCATTTTACCTGGCCTACCATTCGTGGCTGAGTAGTTGCTTCCACTTTGTTATAATACCACTAGCAGTACCAAGGAATTCGTGTCTTGCGAGCCAGAAAGCAGAAAAAAATTCCCTTATTGCACTTTAAAGTTGGATCGCAAACCTCTAGCAGTGGCGACACGTAAAATTGTTATCCCAATCCACACTAATTTCATTAAAGACCAATGATAAGAGAAATGTGTATATAAAAAATCTCAATAAAAATGTAGCAAAAATTATGAATACTAATAATCTTATGAAATTTCAATAAAAAATAAAGAATTAAAAAATTAGTGAAAAAAATGTCCCATGATGGACTTAGGTGCAATCAGAGTGAAGATGTACAACCCTATTAGGCTATATAAGCATTCGGTACCTTGTTAGGAGCTTGAATTCCGTAGTGAACTGAGTTCTCCTGAGAGCGACCCTATTCTTTCACAATGGACTTAGTTATCATGGTAGAAGCAGTCTGCATGCCCAGGTGCTTGACTTTATATACCTGTGGCCATGGAGGTGATTGGAACACCTGAAACCAATGATTTGGAGGAATGTCCCAATACTTTTGGCAATATAGTATATATATATATATATATATATATATATATATATATATATATATCTATACACACAAACACACACTTTTATATAAACAAAAATGACAAGGTTGTAAATGTTTCTTATATATACAGTAGATGTAAAACAAAGCAGGCATGTTTCAGCGCCATGTCTTTATATATAGTCCATGGGTTGTGGAGTGTAGCTTGCAGCAGAGAACATTTGTTCTACTGAATGATAAATAACCTGCCTATAACAAGAGTTCTGACAAGCACCATAGGCAGTGTAAAATGTACTATCTCTGTTACTTGTCTCCATCTCACTATGTGAAAGAGTTGTTGGTCTTTTACAAATAAAACATCAGGTATGCACAGATTTGAAGCAGACAGTGCAGTCAGTATATGACACTATTTTATGGAAACAGGGTTCACACTAAGGCCTCCACCACCTTCTATGGAGAATGCTAAAACTATATCTTTATCATCTTAAGTCCAAATTTATAGTACAAGGAAATTTAAAATGGTACACACTAATGGTACTTACGACTAGTCTTGTGATTTTGAGGTTTACTCCATATTTCATCATCTGAGTTATCTTTCACACCAAATTCATACATAGTGTTTGGCTTTAGATTATCGACCACAGCTTCAGTTGTAGGACAAAGCTGGAAGTTCCAGTCCTTATTTTTTTCTTTGTAGCGAACTGTGTAAAACCTGTTTGAAAAATGTGTGCAGAATTAGATATGAATGCATAAGTAATAAATTCATAAAAATGCATAATTTCATTTTCTCTTGTCAATGCTGTTGCCTTATTTAACAAAGATGTGAGATGATGAGTCACTTTCTGATAGTTAAGATTTACAGATTAAAATGGTAGTAAACACCAAAACAACAATGTATTAAATTGCAGCTCACCAGTTCTTAGATGTGATAACTGCATTCATTTTGTTTTAGGCTTTTTTTGCCTTTAATATAAACTGGTGACCCAGACAGTAAGTCTGTTATTTTTTAACTTACTTTAACAGACCAAGCTGTCCAGACAAAGTAGCAGTTAGATGGTTGCGACAAACCGTTTAACACTGACAGGGGTTCTTGCATTGGTCAACTATGATTCATTTATGTAAAACCTTTATCCAAAAAGGAAAAACAGGTTGCTGTAACTGCTTATAAAGTGTTGTCATAAAAAGTGGAGTCCAGATTTAATTTGTTAGTCAAGTACATCTAAAACTGCTAGTGTATCTAACACTACCCTCCCCCCAGCCTGACAATGCTGCTCTCAAAAGTGTTTGCTTTCTGTTCATTTCTGTTCAAATTAACAATTTAAACAAAGCTTTAAGCGAGATGATTGTTTTTTACTAAGTGCTGCTAATCCGATATATGATGCAGTCTGTCAACCACAATAACAAAACAATCAATCAATAAGCTCCTATATTATAACCCTTACACAAAATCACAACTTTCTCCCCAGAGAAAATAGGGGATTTATGTGTATCACAAAAAGATTTATTAGACAATAACAAAACAGTCCCTCCTATAACATAGTTTTATAATTTGCTGATCCTGCCAATAGAATGTTTGTATCAGTCCAAGCTGTTATTTTTTTTTACTTGTGTGCAGGAAGGGGGTTAGATGCTGAAATGTCACATGTATCAGTCCCCCATATGGCTTTTACGGTCACTTACCTCAGATAAAGGGGTCAGATGGGCTCTGTCCTCACAATACTAGTCTCCTGAGAGTGATTAGGAACGGTCAAAACAGAATCACAACCTCGAGACAACACAGAGGCTCTATTGTTATTTGAAGTTGTTTATACACCATTAATGCACTGGCTCTCTCCACAATGGGCTTGATTTTCGAAAGCAATGACATGCAAGTTTGTCGGGTCACGCAAATTATTACTTCTGACCGGGCGGCCATGGCGTTGTATGCTCAGTACGGTGGGAACACACAAATGTTAGGGCCTTATTCAAAAGACTTTGGGAGATCCGCCATCACGCCCCATTCGATTGCACTGCTTCTCATTCAGTGCATTGTGAAACTTGGCCAAGCAATGCAGAAACACTGACCTTTAATTGCTTATGCTGTCCAATCTGCAGGGAAGAGAAATTACTTCTAATGCAGATGAGGCATGATCTTAGAATCCAGGGCACACTTCAACTCATTTGTTGCATTTACCCTGCTCAACAGAGGTGTGGAAGGTCTAGAGAATGAGCGAATTATTGAAAAATTCGAAAGCTGATATCGCAGAATTTGCAGGGAGAAATTCGATTCGATGAAAATTTTATTCGCCGCGAAAACTTATTTAAAGGGATTCTAGGCTTCAGAGAGAAAAGAAGAATTTAGTGCAGAAGCACTGTACCTTTAAAAGAAGAATAAAGGACCTTGGAGGTCTGCTGGGGAATGAAAATAATACTGTCAGAAGAATGGGGCGTATGACATGCAGGATGAAAGCCGTCGATCTTAGAAGCCACTATTCACTCATTTGAAGGGAGTCACGGGGCACGACGAAGAAGAAGAAGATAGAAGAATGAAAAGAAGAATGAAAAAGAAGAAGAAGAAGAATGAAAAGAAGAATGAAAAGAAGAAGAAGAAGAAAAAGATGAAAAGAAGAATGAGAAGGAAGAAGAATGAAAAGAAGAATGAAAAAGAATGAGAGATGAAAGAAGAATGCCTCAATGAGAAGAAGAAGAAGAATGAAAAAGAAGAAGAAGAAGAATGAAAAGAGAATGAAAAGAAGAAGATGAAGAATGAAAAGAAGAGAAAAGAAGAGGAAGAAGAATGAAGAGAAGAAGAAGTGAAGAAGAATGAAAAAGAAGAAAGAAAGAAGAATGAGAAGAATGAAGAAGATGAAAGAAGTAAGAAGAAGAATGAAAAGAAGAATGAAAAGAAGAAGAATGAAAAGAAGAAAAGAAGTAAGAATGAAAAGAAGAAGAGAAGAGAAATGAAAAGAAGAATGAAAAGAAGAAGAAGAATGAAAAGAAGAATGAAAAGAAGAATGAAAAGAATGAATGAAAAGAAGAAGAAGAGAATGAAAAGAAGAAAGAAGAAGAATGAAAGAAGAAAAGAATGAAAAAGAAGAAGAAGAATGAAAAGAAGAATGAAAGAAGAAGAATGAAAAGAAGAATGAAAAGAAGAAATGAAGAAGAATGAAAGAAGAATGAAATGAAAAGAAGAATGAAAAGAAGAAGAGAAGAATGAAAAGAAGAATGAAAAAGAAGAAAAGAAGAATGAAAAGCTTTAGAAGAAGAATGAAAAGAAGAAGAAGAAGAATGAAAAGAAGAAATGAAAAATGAAGAAGAAGAATGAAAAGAAGAATGAGAAGAATGAAAAGAAGAATGAAAAGAAGAAGAAGAAGAATGAAAAGAAGAAGAAGAAGAAAAAAGAAGAAGAAGAAGAATGAAAAGAAGAAGAATGAAAAGAAGAAGAAGAAGAATGAAAAGAAGAAGAATGAAAAGAAGAAGAAGAATGAAAAGAAGAAGAAGAAGAATGAAAAGAAGAATGAAAAGAAGAAGAGAAAGAATGAAAAGAAGAATGAGAAGAAGAAGAAGAAGAATGAAAAGAAGAAGAAGAAGAAATGAAAAGAAGAAGAAGAAGAATGAAAAGAAGAATGAAAAGAAGAAGAAGAAGAATGAAAAGAAGAAGAAGAATGAAAAGAAAGAGAAGAATGAAAGAGAAGAATGAAAAGAAGAAGAATGAAAAGAAGAATGAGAAGAATGAAAAGAAGAATGAAAAAAAGAAGAAGAAGAATGAATGAAGAAAGAAGAAGAAGAATGAAAAGAAGAATGAAAAGAAGAAGAAGAAGAATGAAAAGAAGAATGAAAAGAAGAAGAAGAAGAATGAAAAGAAGAAGAATGAAAATGAAGAAGAAGAAGAATGAAAAGAGAAATGAATGAAGAAGAAGAAGAAGAAGAATGAAAGAAAGAATGAAAAGAAGAAGAAGAAGAATGAAGAAGAATGAAAAGAAGAAGAAGAAGAATGAAAAGAAGAAGAAGAAGAAGAATATGAAGAATGAAAAGAAGAAGAAGAAGAATGAAAAGAAATAAGAAGAAGAAGAAGAATGAAAAGCAAGAATGAAAAGAAGAAGAAGAAGAATGAAAAGAAGAAGAAGAAGAATGAAAAGAAGAATGAAAAGAAGAAGAAGAATGAAAAGAAGAAAAGAAAAGAAGAATGAAAAGAAGAATGAAAAGAAGAATGAAAAGAAAGAATGAAGAATAAGAATGAGAAGAATGAAAAGAAGAATGAAAAGAAGAAGAAGAAAAGAAGAAGAATGAGAAGAAGAATGAAAAGAAGAATGAGAAGAATGAAAAGAAGAATGAAAAGAAGAAGAAGAAGAAAAAGAAGAATGAAAAATGAATGAGAAGAATGAAAAAAGAAGAAGAAGAATGAAAAGAAGAATGAAAAGAAGAAGAAGAAGAATGAAAATAAGAAGAAGAATGAAAAGAAGAATGAAAAGAAGAAGAATGAAAAGAAGAATGAAAAGAAGAATGAAAAGAAGAAGAAGAAGAATGAAAAGAAGAAGAAGAAGAATGAAAAGAAGAAGAATGAAAAGAAGAAGAAGAAGAATGAAAAGAAGAAGAAGAAGAATGAAAAGAAGAATGAAAAGAAGAAGAAGAAGAAGAATGAAAAGAAGAATGAAAAGAAGAAGAAGAAGAATGAAAAGAAGAAGAATGAAAAGAAAGAAGAAGAATGAAAAGAAGAATGAAAAGAAGAAGAAGAAAGAATGAAAAGAAAGAAGAAGAATGAAAGAAGAAGAAGAAAGAATGAAAAAGATGAATGAAAAGAAGAAGAAGAAGAATGAAAAGAAGAAGAAGAATGAAAAGAAGAATGAAAAAAAGAATGAAGAAGAATGAAAAGAAGAAGAAGAAGAATGAAAAGAAGAAGAAGAAGAAGAATGAAAAGAAGAATGAAAAGAAGAAAGAAGAATGAAAAGAAGAATGAAAAGAAAAGAAGAAGAAGAGAAGAATGAAAAGAAGAAATGAAAAGAAGAAGAAGAAGAATGAAAAGAAGAAGAAGGAAGAAATGAAAATAAGAATGAAAAGAAGAATGAGAAGAATGAAAGAAGAAGAATGAAAAGAAGAAGAAGAAGAATGAAAAGAAGAAGAAGAAGAATGAAAAGAATGAAGAAGAATGAAAAGAAGAAGAAGAATGAAAAAAGAAGAAGAAAAGAAGAAGAAGAAGAATGAAAAGAAGAATAGAAGAATGAAAAGAAGAATGAAAAGAAAAGAAGAAAGAAGAAGAATGAAAAGAAGAAGAATGAAAGAATGAAAAGAAGAAGAAGAATGAAAAGAAGAAGAAGAAGAATGAAAAGAAGAATGAGAAGAAGAAGAATGAAAAGAAGAAGAAGAAGAATGAAAAGAAGAAGAAGAAGAATGAAAAGAAGAATGAAAAAGAAGAAGAAGAAGAATGAAAAGAAGAAGAAGAATGAAAAGAAAATGAAAGAAGAGAATGAAAAGAAGAAGAAGAAGAATGAAGAAGAAGAATGAAAAGAAGAAGAAGAAGAATGAAAAGAGATGAAAAATGAAAAGAAGAATGAATGAAAAGAAGAAGAAGAAGAATGAAAAGAAGAAGAAGAAGAATGAAAAGAAGAATGAAAAGAAGAAGAAGAAGAATGAAAAGAAGAATGAAAAGAAGAAGAAGAAGAATGAAAAGAAGAAGAAGAAGAAATGAAAAGAAGAATGAAAAGAAGAAGAAGAATGAAAAGAGAATGAAAAGAA